GGACGAATCCTTTCTTTAAGAGTTGAAAATTTAATTTATAGTTTTCTTAGAAAATCATAAATCAATTATAAAAATTCCAAATTTATTCGAATTGTATCAAATGAAATCACTTTCATTATTTTTGTGCACATGTCAGTTAAATCTTTTTTTTAACGTTAACGGGTTAACGTTAACATTGATTATACTTTATATTGGATAGGTTATTTAGTTATGAACCCAACTAAAGCAAAAATATTATCAAATTTTTGTGGAGCAGTCAAAAGATATTCGACTTACAAAAAATCACCGAAAATAAATAAGGCTTTTGCTAAATTAGTAATAAATTCGAAACAAAGTTAGAAATAAGTAATAATATTGTCTATACTATGTAAAGGAAAAACGAAAGCGATTGTTCGTCAAGTAGCTATCTTTTTTCTATGAGTTGCCAAGTTGCTATTCAGGCGCTGAGTTACTTTTTATACCTTTTCGATTGCGAACTATTTTACATTAAAGTAGTTGGTACTTCCTGAACAATTAGAGATCTGCAAAAAATATAGATTTTTGACAAATATTGTTTATGTTTTTCAGTATTTATTCTTTTTTTGTTTCGTACACTTAAGGTTTACATTTTTGGAGTAATAGTATATCAAACCACATAAATTTAATCTAAAATTCATTTATTAAATTTTGCCAAATAAATGCCGAATATTTCAATTGGAGCATATTAAAATTGTAGTAGCAGTTTCTAGTTCAATGTTTATTTTCCGTACCATATTTTTTAACATATGTTTCTGTATTCGTTACCAAATGTGTCTAAATGCTGAGTAATTTTCCATTTTTTTCCCTTCTCGTAATAATAGGTGTGAAAGACGCCACTTACAACTTAGTAAACGATGGCCACGACCTACGGTGGATATACTTTCATTTTCTTTAGCGCGTAAATATTTTCATCTTGAAAAATGGCTTATAGCATTTAACTTTCTTTAGTTTTTGATATTTTGCAATGGTTTAATATTTTGTTAAATTCTGTTTGTAATTTGGAGTGCCTTTTTGTATTATGAATGAAATCCAACTGCTTTTTTATCACTTTCCACTCGCGAATTCCGGGATTCATATGAATTTTGTCTCCGGACCGGCGGCATCCGAGTTGGAAGGGTTAATCCCTAATTGTTTATTGTCAATTATATCGAAGCCTTTTGAGAGGTCTATTTGGACCATCTACATTATCCTGCGTGGCTGTAGGCTCACATTGTTAGTAAATCAATTAAAAATTTTAAAATTGTTGTCGTGTACGCTCACTACACTTTGAAAAATGAAATTTATTCATTAAAATAATCTAGTAATCATTGTGTGTTATATTTAAACTATCGATGATATTTAATTCATTAATTTCATTATTAATAAATTGTTGTTTTTTTTTTAATAATCTTATAATAAAATGAATAAAATAGTTCATTACAGATCATAAAGTTTATATATATATATATATATATATAATTATATATAGGGTAAGGTGGGGCACAAAGGTCCAATTTGTCTTTGAGCTGAAAAAACCAAACGAACTTGAAAAATAAAGATATTGAAAAAACTAAACGAACTAGATCAGAGTTGGAATAACTATTAATACAATTTGTTCTAATAAAATTGTTTTTTTTAACTTATTTTATTTACTATTCTTTTATTGTTTACACTTTGCCAATATAAAGATTTTGTTAGTCCTTTTCACCCCAACCGGATATGAGTTTATGTAAAAAAACTGAGAATCTAACTTAAAAGATTAATAGGTACATCCTATAAAACAATTAACTAATGTATATTTATGTCGATTTCTATACCGTTGATAAAAGCATAGAGGTGTTAGATCTCCGATTATAATAATTATTTAAAGCTTCCGTTTGCTAAATCTTATTTGAAATAACTCATAAATTATGTTTTCCCAGTATGACCTAATTCACACATTGTAAAAATATGTTTTTGTATCAATTTAAAAAAAGTCACCATATCATCAGAGTTGGAATAACTATTAATACAATTTGTTCTAATAAAATTGTTTTTTTTAACTTATTTTACATTTTTATTTAATATTATTTTATTGTTTACACCTCGCCAGTGTAAAAATTTCGATAGTCCTTTTTACCCCAACCGGATATGAGCTTACGTAAAAAAACTGAGATGCTAACTTAAAAGAACAATAGGTACATCCTATAAAACAATTAAATAATGTATATTTAAAAATTATATTCAGGTATCGTTAACTAAACAACCGTGCTTAAAAACTTCAACTTTAAACTATTAATAAGGAAACTACTTACTAACTCGACCAGAATTCAGTTATGTCGATTTCTATACCGTTGATAAAAGCATAGAGGTGTTAGATCTCCGATTATAATAATTATCTAAAGCTTCCGTTTGTTAAATCTCATATGAAATAACTCATAAATTATATTTTCCAAGTTTTGTTTTTCAAGTTCTATTACACCATGTACATAAGTGTTTATTTGCAAATTATGACCTCCCGACTCAGCTCTTTGAAAATCGGTTTTCGGCGCTTCTTTAGCACTTCAGGTGCAACTAATTGATTATCCGTGAATATGTTAAGGCGCGATTTCACTTAGTGATTTCAGCATCATCTTGATGATGATTTACGTTATGACAATTAGATTCTTTCAGGTTTTTAATTACATAAATAGTATATTAAATATTACTTTATAAAAAAAAAGTTATCATTGAAATTAGGAAGAGCTTATTTCATTACATACGTATATGCGTGTTTGTTACTACATTTTTTCTCGTATTCAAAATAAATTTAAACCGCAAAATAATATTCGTTATCATTTGAAAATTTAATTAAAACCAATTTTTTGAAAACGTTGATGTTTTTCAGCTTTTGTATACATGAAAACTTTAACAAAATACATATACATTTTTGTTCAAATTTACGTATTGTTAGTGTTATGATATATATATATATATATATATATATATATATATATATATATATATATTTACTTGTTACACAAACTCCAAACTCCAAACAACCTGCCTCGTTTGGAAAAAGCTTTTTTATAAAATATGTATTATTTATTTTTATTTTAATTTTACAATTATTTAAAACTTGTCATATAACTCGACGCAACCATCCAGTAATTAAAAACAGTTTTATTTAAAGGAAAATGTTTTTATTATGAAAACATACGTTTCGGGTCTTGATTTGACCCATCTTCAGTGCATACAAATAAATTGAAAAAAAAACACAAAAACATACAAAAATTGTACGAAAAAATTATGAAACACAAATTAATAAACGTCGAGTTATATGACAAATTTTAAATAAATAAACAAAAATAAATAATATATTTTTTATAAAAAAGCTTATTCCAAACGAAACATGTTGTCCGTTTGGAGTTTGTGTAACAAGTAAAATGTGTGCATACGTGTTTGCGGAAAATTGTGGAAATGTTTCGTCATTGGTTGTAAGACATAAACATCTTCTTTCAATAAAACTGTTTTTATTTACTGGATGGATGCTCAAGAACAATGTTATCATATTATTTCACCATCTGAAGAAAATCCTGGCTTTATATATATATATATATATATATATGTGTGTATATATATACATATATTAAAAAAAATCGTTCTAATAATAACTGAAAGAACAGAAGTTTTAAAAGTACAATGTGCTCTATGTATTGAAGAAACTGCTCTATGAATTTGATATTTGGTCGATAAGCATGTAAAACTATTCATAATACTTGATTTTTGTCTCGCAGATTTTTTTAAAATGTAATCTAAACAATTTCGAAAAATTGCATCGTGTAAAAACGCATTTAGGTAAACACAGTTACTCTTAACGTCGTAGTTTAAGTTTTGCTCAACGACTTCTTTGAAATTTCTGTTACTTCTGTTCATTTTTTGTGAATCTATATTATATATAGTGTGTACTGCTTAGTATTACAATGAATATTATATCTTATTTTACTTCTGGAAATTATTTCAAAGTCGATTAATTTCTTTTAATATTTTAAGCATGCCTTTATTGCTTATGATTAGAGAAGTGTGGGTTTTGTAGAATTTTGCTTAGAATGTAAATTATATTGTTCTATATTAATCGCAAAATAATAAGCTTTAAGAAATATTATATTCAAATTACAATATAAGACTTCAAAAATAAGATGAAATCTTTAGAACAAAATGCAGTTGTGTTGTGCCAGTTAAAATTGTAGAACTTTTAGTTTAGAATAATAACTGCTATGGCAATTGGACAGATGTCAAAACAAGTGCAATATTGTTTCGTTCGAGGCTTTCGGGATTTTACACTAAAAAACCCTCCGCTCATACGCAAACCTTGATCAAACTTCAATATTCTTTCTTTTCAGGAAAATTGACTTTCAGCAATGTGTTTTATAAAACAAAGTCAAACTAGTGGTGCATGGCGTCGTGCCTTAAGGCAAATTGCTGGAACTTTTCGTACCAAAAAATACAATTTTTAAAAAGGATTCAAGTTTGAATTTTTTACTTTATAATATTTTGGAGATTTTGAACTTTTTTTCGAAGCAATTGCGATACTGTAGAAAGGAAAAATAGAAGCGCGTGTGTCACAGTATAACGGATAAACATTGTACGGAACCCATAGAAAAGTAAACAAAATGTTGTTATTATTAAAATATCTATAAAATATGTGATAATTTTATGTGCATGAAAGAAATCGATTGTTTTTTGAATCATTCAAATTGGTTGATATGTGTTCTCCTTGTTATCCTTGACGAAAGTTTGTATCCGCATATACATACACACACGCAAACACACACTCATACATACATCCTTTGCGATTACTGTAACTTACTCTACGGAAAGTTAATTAATTTCTGTTTTTACATAAGAAAATGGCATTATATAGTGTCAAATTAAAGCAGGGTTGTAAAGGACGCGTTACGTAAAATCGAAATTTAAAAATGAACTATTTAATAAGAAAACAAATGCGTAATTGGCGCTAATTTTATGTGAACTTAATCCCTCAGTGTTCGGCTTGGACTCCCCCTTGGGTCTGTTTCCGACTGGAATGGACCCGGGTAAGCTGTACTCGCCGCTGCTTGATTTAGATCTTCGGGGTCAGCACGCCGGGTCATTGGGTGACAACTCGTCATACTCGAAGAAAAAACGTGAGTATCTCATTTATGCATATGTGTGTTGGTGTATCCCACCGAATTAGTTCACGTCAATCACAAATAAGACGAATTATCGATACAATATGTTTAGTAAAAAGATAACTGCTGCACAAAACTGTGGGACTGTTTCATGTAGTGGAAGATCACCAGATCAATAGATCAGCGATCGGAGACTGTGATGATACGGCATGCTATTCAACGGTCAAAGATGCCGACACAACATCGTTGTGCAAACAGTTAAAGGACAGATAGTCATTTTAGAATTAGTAGAAACATAGATCAGTGAGGGTGTTAGAATATTTTCGATAATTAATTTCTTGCGAGGTTAGTCAATGAAATTCCAAAAAACTAGTGGCGTATGGCATCGTGCCTTAAGACAAATTGCTGGGACTTTCCGTATCAAACATACTAACTGTTTTGAAACTATATTGATAATTAATTAATTAATAACTATTTTGAAAAAAAAAATATTTTGAAATATTCTGAAAATTGTGAACATTTTTTTAAAAGCAATCGAGCTGCTTTAGCTGCGTAGATATAAAATATCTTTAGCCGCGTCGCATTCTAACGCATAAAGAAAATTTATGAATGATTGAAATTGGAATCGAATGTTGAATCATTCAAGTCACACAAGCATCCATTTTTCTAAGGCATGTCAAAATATTCAGAAAACTTTAAAACTTAAAGATATATAAAATTTTTCATCATCGATTTTCTTGCGATTACTATAACTTGATTTTGATATACCAAAATAAAGTGGTTTTCTGTGGCAAGCATGAATGGAACATTTTCAGGAAAAAATATTTCATTCACGTCATAAACCTGCAAAGGTATAGAGTTATAGTTATATTAGGTATAAAGTGGTTTTAAGAAAGTTAATTCAAGCGTTTTGAAAACACTAAAAAGTGACAAAATTATTATTTGAAAATTGCACTTCAAAATAAAGGTGCGATTGAAATATTTATATTTTACATAAGTGTTAGCAAAATGATCAAAATTTAGTTAATCTCAGGATTTCATACCTGAATCATCTGAGTTTTGTTTTTTAACGTGAAAATCGACCAGTTCATCTTTTTGCGTGTAGGTTGCCAAGCGCTGAAACGGATTACATTTCATAACTTCAGAAATCCTACAAGCATATCGGCAAATAAGAGATCTTGGTAAACTTCTGATGATAGTTATTTCACATATTTGAGAAGAAAATCTTGTCAGAATATTTCGACAACACAATAGATATTTTTTAAGAGACTAACAGCAAATGCTATATGTTATGGCTTTTGAAATGTAGACTTCCCAGTATATTTTAATCAAATTTCTTCTAATTCAAATAGAAATTCTGAATATTTTTAGAATGTATTTTTTATTTGTAGAATAAAATAGTAGGATTTATAATAGTCTTTATTGACTAACGAGATAAAATAACTGTCAATTATATTATGTCTAATTTTGGCAAATGATAATTTATTCAAACAATAATTGCGAATTATTAATTTTAACAAATATAAATATATTATTAAATTACATAATTGAATTTGTAAAAAAAAAAATTGAAAAAAAATACATGAGTTTTGTTTCAGATTAAATTCTTTTATCAAACTTTTTGATAAACGATATTTTATTCCAAAAAATCTTAAGCTACCAAAATTGCCCAATATAAAGTAGGATATGCTAAAACTCTAATGAGCTATTCAACTAATTATTATACTCAAAAGTAGTAAATGAAAAGAAAAATAAAGGCGGTGCCGCTAAAAATGAAAATAAATATTTTATTACATTTTGTGTATTTTATAAAGAATTTTATGCAATCTTTTAACAATGAACTCATTGTGTATGAGGTGTATTCCTAAAATTGTAACAACATTATTACCTAATATAACATATAATATCAATGTTTTAGAGAATAAGACCTCCAAAATATCGTTATTCCACTTCACAATAACAATAACATTTAGACAAAAATTCTGTTGAAAAATTTTCAATATTTTTACTGCAGAAGCGACGGTTTATATTATATTGGAAAACTCACATCAGATTTTCACAGTGCTCGAAATACAACAAAAATTAATTATCTATGTCTATGAAAAACAAAATTTGTGTAATAATAATATTGGATAAAATATCATTGGCTGACTGAAGTATTAAACAAAATTATATATTCTTCTTACTCTCTACATATTCTCAAATTCCTCATCAGAAAAAGTTATTAATACAAAATATATAAAGAAAAACTACTAACATAATGACTAACATTATGGAAGAGAAACTTACCACATTAACATTTCAAAAAGGTTAAAAATATTTTTTTTAAACTTGTCATTATTTTTATGCTGGAAATATGTTTTCAAGAGAAAATAGACATTTTCCAGAATTTTTGCATCAAATTACAAATCATCAGTATTTACAAGTTTTACAAATTTTAATAATAATCTAAAATATATATCAAATAGGTAGATATAGAGTTAAGAAGTATCACGAAAACAGACACTTAGTTCTATTTGTTGTCCGGAAAAAATTGAAGTTGATAATTGATAAATCATGAATCATTACAATTACGTCTTTAAAATTTGACGACTGATATATATTTGTTTTAAATGAAAGTACCTACTTACGAGAAAACGTTCTGAAACAATTTATACATCATAATGCTTTTTATTTACTGTAAGTTCCATTATTAATATAAATATACTTTTAAATAAATAGTAAGTTTTTACTTTGAGTACGCCTTATCTTGGTTTTGAATTGTAATTAAAAGTTTAATTGAAGACGAAAAAAATCTAATTTCTATATTTAGTATATTAAAAGATAGGCAGGTAAACAGCATATTACAAATACGATTTTTTAGTATAAAAATCACAAAATAGACTGTTTTGTTAAAAAATGTGAATATCATAACTTATATTCTCGATAATAGTCCTCTAACATATTGTTATATTTATGTATTTTAATCTCATCTTTATTCAAATTAGATTTTTTGTATTGAGGTTTAGTATCAAATGTTGTTCAATGACAATTAAAATGAAAATTGGATAAATTTTCGATTCGATTCGTGCCATATATGATTTTACGCAAAAGTTTGAAACTTATTCTAAATTTAATCTACTGGAAATTCTTGTTTTGCTTTTAATGATGAAGAAGGTATATATTTTGTAACTTTTTCCGTAAAGCTTTGAAGTTCTATAGTTATGTACATGCATACAACTTTATATGAAGACAGAAACTGTAAGGTCACGAACTTTGAACATTTATATTATAATTTTTCTTACTTTTTCTTAAGTAAATCAGAGTTTTGGCTATAAAACTTATTTGGCATTCTTAAAAAACAATCATAAATTAACACTTTCATTAAAACTGATGTTTATTATTTGTCCATTTTGTCTATTCTACTTTTCTTTTCTTAAAACTGATAAAGACAGAATTCTAAATTTTAATTTTTTGCTGGATACTAGTTAAAATAATGTCAAATATTAACGGATATATATATATATATATATATATATATATAACTAATTCATACAAAAAATTCCTAACTCATATGAATGTATAAATATGATAGAGCAGTGCTTAAAGGGTCCGCGGGTAAAAAGGTCCACCACCGGTATCTCAAAAACAAGTAGAGTTAAGACTTTTTTTAACAACAATATGAGGGAAAAATACGTTGCTATCGGGAGAAAAACGTTAATGTTTGAAATCCTTAAAAAAAAGTATTTTCTTTTGTAATTTTTTTTTGTTTTGAGAACTGTTGCTTAGTTTAAGGATCGCAATATAATTTTTTCATATACGTTATATATTTGTTTCATAGGATGTATTGTTAATTACAAGTTAGATTCAACAGTTTTTTTTTTATTTAACCTCTATAAACGTTCACACCCGGAGGAGTAAAAAAAGTCCAACTGAACTTTTGCCTTGGCAAATGTGAAAAAATTAAAAGTGGCAAATAGAATAGTGAATTAAGGTAAAAAGGCAATTTACAAGAGATAAATTAAACAAATAGTTATTCCAAATCTGTTGATGAATATTTCTATTGAAATACCAGATTTAGGTTATATACAGTGTTATCTGTGTTTACTTTTTTAGGCCTGTTTCTTATTTTGACCTTATTCTCATCCAAATTTCTCTTTTCGTGATCATATTTAAGGAATTAATAATGCTGATAATTTGTATGTGAAAATATACATAGAATTGCAAAATGCTTCAAATTGAAACATTTTTACGCAGCTAGTCAAAGGTAAAAATTGCTTCGTATTCAATGAACTTCTTTTTAAAGCGTAGCAAAATCCATTTGTTCAAAAATCTACTCGAGTCAAATCTTTAAATTTGAATGTCACTCTTTTAGTTTTTTTTAATATTTGTAATAATTAAAAATGAGCTTTAAAATGTTACGTTTTAATGATGACACGACTGTTTATTTTCATTTGAATGGGAACGAACAAAGCCTCCAAATTCCATAATTTGTATTAACAGATTTAAATATGAATAGCAATAAATCGCGGTTAATATTTTTATTTGATATCCATTTTATAGTTTATAATTACGTACTGAGTTCCGTAGGACAACTCTGCGTTTCCTCTATATAAATTCTCCGGCACCACTAGTTTATGTGTTAATGTAAATATGCGCATTATGCAAGTAGCACATTTAAAGTTTTTTTTGAGGCGAATGTGCAAGTGTTATTTTCTTGTAAGAGAAATGTTATTTTGATTAGATCTCTTCTATGAGCACAAATCTCATAACAGCCAGAGCAGGGCGCACTCAATACACTCTGCATGCGATGTACTGCATTTTGTGGGATTCTTTTTGAATTCTCAAATGCAATTATGCAGAACGTAAAATATCATTTTCTTTTCACAGAATTATATTATTTTCTTTCGAGTTTTTTTCACCAAAACTGAGTGGGAGAACTCATATGCTTGTTTAAATTTTAGTAAAGCAATATTTTTACTTCTCTACTATTTATTAAGTGAATTTGTATGTAAGGTAGGGTCCAAATTTACTTT